TTAATTTTATTAAATAATTTAAATAGAAATAAAACTAATTTCGGAACTGCTGTTTTAATTCAATAATTTCTAGATGTAAAAATTGTAAAATATGTGACGTCACTAGGAAGGGGGGTCTCACAAATGTCATCAGATGTGACAAGGACGGTGGAGGGGTCAAAAAATCATGAAATTCGTGTGACGTAATTTATGGATGGCCCCAAATGAGTAATTGTGAAATATTGAAACTTCATTTCTAAATGAAGCGTACCGCTGTACTACCAGTTTCCAGTTTCTTTCAAGTTTTTAGTACCTATCCTAACTGAAGCCAATCTTTGCATTTCTGGAAAACTAAAGCAACCAATACCGTTAACTAGTGTCCGACCGAAAGTTCGGTTTCGGTTTCGGTAGAGTTTCAGCAAAAAAACGAGTTTCGGTTTCGGCGGCAAACTTGCCGAAACTACGACCGAAACCGAAACTGCGTTCGGGAGTTCTCGTGCTCTGCTCGGTCATGTTCGGCGCGTTAAATTCCATCCAAGCGAAGTAGATTAGTAGACATAGGCATAAAAAAGGATAATCTTCAAAAGAAAAATGAGTCTAGTCTACTATACTTACTCAAATAAACATCTCACCTATTTTAAGTATTTTTAAGGCGCAATTAAAGTATTTCCTTAAACGAGGGGTTGTTATGTTGATTTTGATTTGATTATCAATAAGTGAAAATATCAAAGACTGCAGAGCTATGTGATTTAAAGATAAAAAAATAAAACTGACTGTAATAACGTTTTCTTTATTTTTCTCTCAAAACATGATCCTTGATGAAGTTTCGGTTTCGGCCGAAACTGAAACCGTTGCCGAAATTCGGTTTCGGTTTCGGTCGTAAAAACCAGTTTCGGTCGGACACTACCTTTAACGTCTATCTGGGTCTATCTCTGCCCCCCTTAACTTCTGTTTCTGCTTCTTGTTCCCTTCATGTTTGAGAAGATGCCCTACCAAATACCTGTCTCACCTCTAAGTATTTCCTGTCGACTTACATATCACCCTCTGTATTATATTACCCATTTAATTCATAACATTTTACTTTTGAATCTCTCAGTCTGTCATAACATACCAAAGTGTGGAAGGAGATTGAGTCAAAAAATTGTTAGATATTAGTTTATGAAAACGATGAAAATGTTCCATTGGTCGTCATATTTAGGTACAGCAATAGCTAAATATCGCGACCTTTTGACCCATTCAGGTTCAAACCGTAATTTAATACGAAACGGTGGTACGTGGATGGAACCAAAATCGGAACGTTTCTGGTTATTTCCTGAATAAAAATTCTTTCGTGAGCCCGGTGTTGTAACAAAATCCGTGATCTATTTGAAGTAGATGGGGTTCGTATAACAAGAAAAACAGAGAAGATTATAGGGGCCCTATTCATTCCCTTTTGGCAAACATGTTCCAGTGTGAAATTGGCATTGTCGGAATAGACGTTCAAACAGCCACCAACCACCATATACCTACCACCACCTGAAACAGCTTATTTGTGCCGAAAGAAAGAAGCTTTTCATCATTACCATCTGCATCTTCTTCTTCGTGCGTTGGTCTTCGACCCGTCGCCGTTGTTATTAGTCGCGGAGTTCTTTGTATGCGGTATGTTATACACGCCTGAACAAGCCCCCGGGTCAGGTAGAACTTCTCTAAAGGTAATAAAGCTGACTTAGGCGCCTTGAAAGATGCCGCCCTGTCATTACCCACTGTCTGGTTCAGCCCCTCCAACTTTTTGCTCTTCATTCTACTACTTGTTATTATACCTTGCTACCTACCGATGTGTCTGTCGTCCAAGAAAGATTACGATGATGCTTATTAGGATTTTTCTTACAATCGCTCCGATATAATAAAACTAGGTATTTGAAGATATTTTATTTTCAGGATACATCGTTTATCTCTGGCTATTTATAAATTGAGGCCATCAATTGATACGTAGTTACAATTAGCTGATGCTTTGACACAATGAAGTCTGTAGGTCTAGAAAGACGTCCTTTAGTGTTTTATTCAAACAGACGTACAATAGGTATCTAGAACTGTCGAAGTTACGTCAATTTTGAATCTCTTTCAAGCGCACGCAGTTGTGTGACGTCACTTTACAACACGGTGCACTCGCGGTTACAACTTCCGCACTTCCGCAACTGGTGAGTCAAGAATCAAGTTTGATTTAAAAATTTCCTTTAAACCCCTGTTATTAGACCATAAAAAGGAGCAATAATATTCAATCTTTCTCCTAAAATAAAAAAGTAGAAGTGGCCCATTCTTTGATTTGGTAGTTTTGACCTGCACAAGTACATACATAGACCCTTTAAAATTTCTATTATCGTTAGAGAAATTTTCAAATTTATTACTGATCATTTTTCTTAGAAATGTTCGTAGACTATTAATTTTTACCATATTGTTACCTCTAGAAAAGTTAAATACCTAGCCAATCAAATATGTATATAAAAAAAGCCATGGTCCTCTTCTTAGAGCGAACAATGTGATGTTATAGTGTTCTCCATCTTCCTTAATAATACACATTAAAATCGTTTCGAAGCCCTATTATTACAACAACGGTTTCAAGCCAAATAAGCCGAGCCCTTCCAGGAAAAAGAACCCTTTTAAATTTGACTGACGATGCCGCAGGAGGATAAACACATACCTACGCATGGGTGTATTTGTATCTGTGTGAAGGCGTCACACATGTGTGTGTGTATGTGATCCTTCAACATCTTCGTTTCCATATTTAATTAGAGCCCGGATTCTTTACAGACATTAGGTATTAAGGAAAGTTTTCTTTGGTCATTATCACCTGGCTACCCTAAAAAACGTCCAGATTTAAGTATTTTAACTGGAAGCGCTTTTAATTTTTACCGCCTTTTCTGTTCGCAGTAGAAAAGGGGCGAATTACACAAGCTGTTGGCGCTCACAAATTAGCAACTTTATCTGACACTTTTTGTATGCTAAAAAACGACTTCTACGGAATCTACATGAGATAAAGTAAATAAATTCTTGAACATATGTTTACCTAAGCACTTTAGTGTTTTATACACAGCGTTGCTTGCTTAGACTGGGGTTTTTGTGTGTTAAATTTATTTTAGTTAGTACNAAGCTTGCAATGTTTATCAAGAACCACTGAGCGAATTATCTAACGTGATGTTTAGATCCGGCACCTCGGTCAACATCGGACCAATTCAGTTCATGCTGCAGAAATTAATTTGCCTAATCAATGGGCCAATTCCAGAACAATATTCTCTCCAAACAATAAAAAACTATACGAATCTAGAGACAATTCTAACGGAGATGCTCTATATACAACACCACTCAGTAATCGATAACAGAACTCATCAATAAAAACACCTTTGAAATATTTTAATTGATATCAAGGCAAAAGTATGCACATACATGAATAAAACTGCTGATAATGTTATATATAAAAGAAATTATGAGTGCTGTCAGAACAGAGCAAAATAGTATTACGTAGTTAATATCTGCAATTTCTTATGCTGAAGTGTACGATGTGTTGCATACCTATTTACAAACAATTTCTTTAAATTTAATTTTTCAAACATTTTTAACAGCAAAAAATTGATTAAACAAATTGATCACAAAAGTGAATTTCTACCACTCGAAGCAATGGTGCTAACAACAGTTTCGAGCTCACAGTGACTGATAGGGGGGGAAGAACTTGTTTTATGAAAGTATTTTCCGCATGTATAAATTATGAATATTATAACGAGAAATTATTTTTAAACAACAATGTGTATTCATATTAATAATCCTCAACTTCTTAAACACTAACTACTTACTATTGCTGCTAGATTACCTTATCCACAAGATTTACATCTTTATGTTATAAAAATACTACTTTTACAAGGCAAAAGTTAGTAAAAATTTTTTACGTACTAGAATTAGGAACTATATCGTATGTCGATAAATTTAAACTAATTTTGATTTCTCTTTGTTTCAGTTACAAGAATTTTCGGGACTTTTACAAAACGAATGTTCACCATTTCTCCGCATGTTCGTTTGTTCTGTTTTCGTTCCTCTCTGTTCGGAACACGTTCCCGGGGCAGTCCCGGCCTGTCGGGGACTATGCGAGGAAGTTCACAACAGTTGCCAAGCGGCGATAGCTAAAGCTGGGCTCACATGGCCTGCCGAACTTAACTGCTCAAGGTTCTTTTTTACTACTTTGTTACTTAATGTTAGATTTCTTTGTTCTTGTAAATGTTGTAATTTAAAATTGTTATTTTCCTGTTGTTTGTATGTCTTTTATTTTGTTTGACAATTTAGATTTCCCGAGCCTCCAGATCTTTGCATGCAACAGCCCCCAGAAAATGGCATAGAAAATACTTTGAAGATCGACCATGCCCCCACCGACTTTTTATCCGCATTTGCAATTAATCCCAGGCGTTGTCCTACCAATACTGTTTATAAAGAAGGGCGATGTGTGAAGGAGTGCACTAGTCAAGTTTTATTGAAAGATACGTCGAAGAAAGTATTATACGAGGTAAGGTTTAAAAGTTTTTGTAATTTAGGTGTACCCAATTCCAACTTCACACGAATCCTTCAGGAAGGTCTTTATGGTATAGAATTAGGGTTGGGTGTGTTTGTTATGGTGACGTTACCTTGTCTTAAAGCAAACCTTGCTTTATTAAAATTTCCTACATTACGTTGCATGTGACAAAACCTAAACCTGTACCTGGCAAACCCTTTGCATATTAAGCGCCACTATTACTCCTGAACCTTGAAAACAGCTATAACCTTTGACTCACAGGCTTAGTAGATTGTCCAGAACTGCAATGCGTAGCCAATGGAACCTTCTATATAGAGCTTCTTTGATAAAATTTATTTTTTATACTTGAGAGGTTAAATTAACTTAGTATACGCGTTTCGTCGTTGTTTCTGCTGTAACCTCTCGTAGGTTAGTGGTTAGAGCATTGGCGCATAATGCCAAAGGTCCCGGGTTCGATTCCCGACGAAAGTGTGACAGCAGCAGCAATTTTTTTCTCGTTAATTTGAAGTAATTTATAGAGGGTTGAATGTTAATTTTATATATTAACGTTTAATTAAGTTCTTTGGTGAAGGTATTTATTAACCAATTCATTTAACGTTTAAATAATTATTACAGGTTTGGACCGCCGTTTGGTCTCTTACGTGCCTTTTGATTACTACATTTGCTTTGCTAACGTTTTTTATTCAACCGAAACGTTTCCGGTGGCCAGCTCGTCCTATACTGTACCTCGCCCTGTGCGGATTTATAAGGTCTCTCGTCACCGTCGTTCAGTGGATAGTGGGCCCTTTAACTTGCGTTGCGAATAACATCGAAAAACCCACGGAAAATCTTTCGTGCGTTTGTTTCGCGTTGATTATAATCTACATCGATGTCGCTGTTTGTTTGTGGTGGAGCGTTTTTTGTTTCGTGTGGTATTTAACAGCAGCCAAAGAATGGTCAACGGAGGCCATTGAAAATATTTCGACGCGATTACACGCGCTCATTTGGACCTTGTCGATGATACCGATTATTAATTCATTAATGTATAAAAATATCGAATCTAATAAAACGTTCGGGTTTTGTTTCGTATCGAGTTCGATTCTTATCATTTTCGAACTTTGTACGATCACTTTGGGTTGCGCATTGGCGCTTATGATGTCGACGGCGCTGAAAAATGTGCGCAAAGCTTTAGTATGTGCCGGGAGATCCCCGTACAAATTAGAAAGACTCATTTTGAGATTAAGTGTGATAAGTGTAGGAATCTGCGTGCCTTTATTCGTGAGCCTTTTATGTAATTTCTTCGACAACTTTGTCGTACTCCTGATGAAAATTGCGATGCAATTCCTAAGTGCCATTTTTGCATCTTTGTGGGTCTTTTCAGAAAAAACTTTTAAGAGTTGGAATAAAGTTTTGAAACCGGTATTTCGACATAAAAGTCAAACCGTCACTAAAGTCTGAGAATCGCGTTTTCATTAATTAATAAATTGTCACTTTGTTAAATATTTTCTTAAAATATGTGATAGTAGATATTTATATATCTGTATATACTTATATATTATATATTTTTTTTGTAACCAGTATTACGTGTGTGTGCATGTGTAAGTAATAATTGTAATGTAGTTTGTTTTTAAAAACAAACTATTAAATTAATATTTTTGTAAATAAAATTTTATATACCTTTTTACTACATTTGTTCCTTATGTTAAGGTGTGTAATAAAATATTATAGTTTAAAAAATGAATTGAAAAATACTAATATGAAACTTTTTTGTTTTTTTTTTATACTCCAGGTATGCATGTATTGAAATACTTATATTTCATCTATCAAAAGGGCGTAAAAAATTAGAAAAGACCTTTTTTTCGGTTTCGTTGAGTGCAAAGTCTTGAAAAAAAAAAACAACAAGTTGTTATAAAATAGTAGACAACGAATAAAATAAGGACAATTTTCGTTTGTATGCACTGCTTTCTGTAAGAATATTTATAAAAGGGTAAAATCAGTTTTCGTAATAGGTCGTGGGGTTAACATAATTGAAAATTTTGGAAACCACTGATTTAACTTATACTTGCAGATATTATCAAAGCTTAAGGCTTTAAAGTCATACGTTTGCCATGGTAAAGATCTTAAAACTTTTGAACAGGTGGTTTCTGTCATGAGCAACTATTACCATTATGTTCTTCTACTTATGGGCTTTTCTAATAGGGGGTCGGTCATTTTGATTCATACTCAAGTCCTGCCCAGGTATTTTTTACCAATAAGAAAATAATATACATATACATACATTCCCTTTATTTTAAAATGACTAAAACTTTAATCATACACACTAAAGAGTTGATATAATATAAGCTTATGTATGAGATTTGATTTTGATTAATTAACATTTTTTATTACGCAGCGCCTGAATGTATCGATGAGAAACATCGTCCCAATTAATAATATCAAAAATCGCCTTCACATATGCTGCTCTGTTATTTTTGTATTGCAAATAATAAGCGTGTTCCCATACGTCGATCCCTAACAAGGGTATCAATCCAGTGGTAGGTTCCAATGCGTCTTGATTAGGCATTGATACAAGTTGCAAAGAATCTAAAACAAATTTGTTCAGTTATTAAATTTTTCATAATTTTGCTTGTGCGTAACATCTTATTAGGTATGAGAATCATTTCTAAGATAAAGGTATTAAAATGAAAACAAAAAAATAGTACGTATTATCTGTTCAATCAATACCCCGCTAATATATTCATACAAATTTAACTCTTTACTGGGGGTTATGTTACATATAGTTGGCAATTACTGTAATAAGGCTCGCATTTTTTAATATTTTAATTGGTAGGGGCAGTCTACTAAGCTGCGAATCAAAATTAGTTCAACAAAGTCAGGAAAATTCATGATTTATAATTACCTAACAGGAATATTCAATAATTACCAATTGTAAATGTAGTATGTATGGTCCACTCAAAGTAAATTTATAATTCGCAATTAGTAGGAGGAAGTTCTTTAAGCAAACATTTACCAAACTAATTATGAATAAGTTACATGGGAATTTAAATGGTTACAAAACACATAATATTAAGAAAGTAACACATACTAGATTTTGGATCATATCCTAACCAGCCCCAGCCGGAGCCCTGAACTGCAACTGTTATAGCACTAAATGCTTGTTGAAACTTATCAAAAGAACCAAAATTACTGTCTATAGCACAACATAATTCTCCAATAGGTTTAGTTGATGTAGGAGACAGATTTTTCCAGAAAATTGAGTGGTTAATATGACCTCCACCATTGAATTTTATTGCTGATGATAATGCAGCAACTCCACTGCAAGGACAAAGTAACATTTGCAATGTTACATTTCTAATATAAAAAACAACAGGTTCACTTACTTCACATCTCCCTTTTCTATAGCAGATTTTAATTTTTCTTCAGCAGCATTAAGATTTGTTACATAAGTTCTATGATGTTTGTCGTGGTGTAGGTTCATAATGTCTTTAGAAATAACAGGTTCTAACGCATCATATTCATAGGGTAGTTCAGGAAGATCATGTTTTGCTCGAACATTTCTATATAAACAAATTTAGCAAACTGGTAAAAACTTATGTAATCATAAAGATCATTCCTTATGAATAACAGATACTTTTTGCATTCTCTAAATAATAAAAACAAATTAACTTACTTCAAAGCTGCTGTAGTAAGACGACGAAGAGTAAGACCGTTCATTTTGACTTTTTATATTAATAAATGCACTTAAAATGTATTAAATCGTAATTTCAACTGTCACCGGCTCCTTTGGTCGTTTGGACAGCTGTTATACAAGGTCAACAACGTCAAAACAAACCATAAACTGATTGATCGAAATGTAACTAAATAACAGTGTGATTGTTCATTTATTGTTATAATCCTAAATGCAGTTTAAGTTTAGCTTTAATGCACATTCACTAATTAAATAGAAAAGGAAAAAGCTGATTGTCGATTTATTATTAAATATATTGCAAATTAACAATAAAATGATTAACTTTCGTAGATAAAAATTATCACGTATTGACTGAATGGTTATCATCATTGCTGACCAATTGTCTTGTTCTATGGTTTTGTTTTAGCTCTATATTTTAAGTATAGGTTATGTTTTTTGCTTATTTATTCTAATAATTTTTTTTCAATTAAGTACTTAGTTTTGTGTTTATTAAATGAATTGCAAGTCATTTGAAACAGTATATAAATTTTTAGTTTTATGGTTTAAAAGTGTCAAAATACAATGAAAGAATTCCACATAAAATTTGAAATATATAATGCTAATTTCTTAATAATAATCAGCAATTACTTATTTTGCACAGTTTTCAAGTTCATTCATAATTCAAACAACCTTAGCTGACTTTCATTTCAACAGTCTCTGAACCAAAAATTTTTGGTTATTGATGTTCTTGAGAATTCATTCCTATCTCATGTAGTTAAACTAAAAAAAATTACAGTGCTATTATCTCGCAGTTATTTTTATTGGTCCTAGTTAAAGGTAAGCTTTTATTAATACAACTCGAATACTTGAATGATTGATTTATTAATAAATTTACAAATATTATTAATATTTCTAAGAAACCATCCATTAACTTCTGGGCTAGACCATTAGTAACTAATGGACTTGATTGGACTTGTGAAACTAACACTGTTAGTATTAAGAGCCAATGGTAGTTCTCTTGTAACTTGAAACAATAGTTTATGTTATAAAATTAAAAATCTAATTAATTATAAATTATAGGACCGTCAGTTATGTTCGTATAATTCTCGAGCTTAATAAGAACGTATTAAAAAATGCCTCATTAAATGTTTCTTTAAAAAATAGACTGTAGAACAGCCTTCATTGCAAAAACAAAATAATAATGGTCAATGAGGAAGTAACAGATCGTTTTTAAACTAGTTGGTTACTGTAATTTTGTAAAGTGGAAGAACTTTCAACTTTTATTTTTGTTAGAAAATATCTAATTTATTAATGTAAAGGTTGCAGCTATGTAAAAATTGATAGCAATAACACCTGAAATTGTACGTCTTGTATTATTTTTTTTGACAAATTACTACTAGAATTAATATATCCCTGAGCTCTAATGTATGCTACACATTACAGAAAAGTATTTTACTGTTGCTATCAGATTTTACTGTCAAATTGTATTTTTTTAATTACATTTCATTCAATTATTTACTAGAAGTACAAAATTATTATAAAAATAAGACCTCTTATTAACTCGTAAAGCTGTGTTAACTTCCTACTCAAAATTTCAGGAATAAATAACCTACTAATACGCACAAACATTTAAATTAACCAAACATTATAACAAAAAAGTGACCAGGCTCAAGGATCCATTAATTCAATAAGATTTCAATTCCTCTACTCTGGTTTATATTATTAAATTAAATACAAAAGCTTGCAAATACCTACGACCTTATTTAAATATATACATTTCTTAAACATACAAAAAAACGTTCCATCTTTAAAGTCCACTTTGTAAAATACAATAACCAACTTACTAATTAACTAAATCATCCTCACTGATCATGTACGTGCCCCCATAATTCGTTACATAATAAAAACGAAGTTAAAAAACGATATTCAAAACATTATAACGTATGTGTATGTCCTGTACGTTCTAAATAATCATTATTTTTGTATGTATAATATGTACACGGGGGTGAAATGATGTCCGTCCAGTGTGGGTTTATTATTACAGTCGAGTTAACATTATTCTGAAATTTCCCCAATAAGAGAAGAGGACCCCATTTTTGGTGGTAAATTGATTTCGGATAACTCTTTAACATAACACCCTGAGAGTCTTTGAAACTGCGAATTTAATTTTTTACTCTTAATGTTTAAACGAATCTTTTAGAACAAGACACAGTCCCTTACCACTTAAATTAATTTCAGAATTCGTTATTAACTAGGCTGTTACTCCGGATCGGAGGACATGGCCACATCGCCGTTGGCGTTTATCACCAAGGTGTCATCTTCGTTGTAGTCGATGCTAAGCACCGACGACCGGCGAACGCGTTTGATTCGGGTCCGTTCTCCGCCATCGGACTCGCTGTCCGTCGTCCTGTCCAGTCGTTCACATTTTACAACAACACAACTACTATTTGTCGTATCACCATTCGCGCGTCCGTTTTGTATCATGGTCGCTTTCAAGCCGGCATTTTCTTTTTGCAACATCGCCACCGTGTCCTTCGTCTTGCGCAACTCTTGCTGCAGGAACAATATTGTACTCTGCATGCCTTCCACGTCTTCGTCAAGGTCCGCAAGGAAGGAATCGAGCTCTAATTGAGATTGACGCACCTCTTCGGAGAATTTTTTTTGAAGCTCGAGGTCGCCCTCTAGAAGGGCTACGCGACCTGAGGACGTAATCTTACCGAGCTCCTCGTTTTCTTGGTAGAGGAGTCGGCATTTGGCCATAAGGCGTTTGCCAGTGTTAGAATCTGGGGTAAATTTCCATGCAGATAATTCATTCTGTGTGTCTTCTAGACGCAACCGAGTCGCTTGAAGTTCATTTCGTAGCAAGTGCAGAAGGCTGTTTACTGCAGGGTCCAACAAAGCTGAACGTAAAGAGGTGCTGGTTGGGGCCTGGGCACTTTTCAGTTCATTTACCTGACACTAACAAAATTAAGTATATTATTATCAATAAGAATTTAATAGCCCGTTTATATATTTCACTATTATTCACTTATAGCTATTAACAAAAATCATTAAAACAATTTAAAATAGATTAAATTGTAATTAGGAATTTATATTAGCAGTTTGAATACAGTACTTTACATCTAGTTTACCACTCAAACCATCATACAAGAGCTTCCAATTTCCTTTTCAATTTACCTATTTCAATACTTACGTATTATTAATTTCCTGTACCTATAATGTAATAGTGTAAGAAAAAAAATTAACTAATCAACATACATGTGCAACTTACTAAGGAAAACAAGATGTTGATGTGACAAATTAAACACGATCAATAGTGATTCTTATGAACTATTTAAAAATTCACTTAATAATATGGAACATTATTAAATTTTATTACTGTAAATATTGAATCAAACTTTATAATTGTAATTAATGTTAACTTTCTACAAATAATTTATTGTTTATGATATTTGTGAAATATTTTTTTATCATCAGACACATAATCAGACACAGGAACACTTGTTACCGATAAAGAATTTTTCACTTAATTACCACCAACAACTAGTTTTAATTGTCGATACACAAATGTATTATTAACACTGCAAGGTATGATTTGAGTTCATAAGAATCACTACTGTTTTATGAGGAATGACTTATTCTGAGGGACTATACTAACCACAAAATCCTGAGTTTCTTGTTCTTTGGCGGCTAGTCGTCGGACAAGGACTTTCTCTCTCTGCTGGGATTCGGAGAGCTGGGCACGTGCCTTTTCAAGAGCCTGGCGTAGATCAGCGATCTCGCCTGCAATCACGAGCGCATTAGCACTTCACGCACCGCACTAGGGACACAGCACTGCACCGCATAGCATAGCCTAGCACTGCACTGCTACAGGTACATCTTATTATGTACTTATGTACTTACATAAACAACAACACAAATGCTAAGTCAAGTTAATTCATAGTCATAATAGTCAAAATATACCACGTATGCGTGGATACAGTATCTACCTTCCTGTTGGGTCGTTTTGTGCTCTAGACCCGTGATGTAGGCGTCCTGGGTCCTCCAACGGTCAGCCCATTCGGTAGCCGTCATGTTGGATAAATCGCTTTCAGAAAGTACAATCCTTAAAGACAACTTGCCCTTTTCATCCATATTTGTTACCTGGGGACCATCTCCAGAGCCGTTATGCTCCGACATTGTCGGCAATTCAAAATTACGCCCTAAAACTTTTAAAAGAACTCCTGTGACCCCTCGCATGGTAGCCATTGACACCACGATTACACTACGACGAATATAATGAAAAAATGGTACTTACTTGATGATAGAGAAGCAACACAGTTATCAATTTGTTAAATCAAAACTACACTGTTTTAACAACTATCCATACACACATATTGTACATTTCAAACACTATAGATTGCAACAATTTTACGTCCTTTTCACCTCAACCATCGCCATTTTGCCGTTGTTGAATATACATAATTGTACTGAAATTAGCTAACTGAATTGTAGTTACATATGCAATATTACACACATGAAGTTGGCTGAAGTATAAAAATTCAAATATTCTTATAATTTAAAAGTCTCTTTAAATAAGTGTTTTCGTACAAGAAATTGTTTAAACTTTAAATAAAAAGAGCTTCTCAACTTAAAAACCGAATTATGTAAATTGATTATAAATTTTAATGTTATCCGTTTGAAATTATAGGCAACCCATTTTGCGCATATATCGACTACAAAATATATTTTGTGTCTTGTTTTACTAATTTCATCTTGTAAATTACTTTTTCCATTTTAATACAAATCCTTGACTATAATGATATATCAAATAAATACGTATTAGTATACTATTGGTAAATAATATTCTTTTTGTTTCAGTATTCCAAACAAATTGCATATGAAGGAAAACTCCTTACAAGCCATTACCAAGATTATTTTGAAATGCACTTATTTATAAAGGTAGGATTTTATTTAATTTTTTTTTGTTTTAATTTTTTCTTATTAATCGTAAAATAAAGTTATTATTGTTTCAGTACTTTGACCAATGCTCTTAAAAAGTTTTCTGTGTTTTAGATTATTGATTATGGAACTAGAAAATACAATGTCGGTATTCCAGAATGGTACTTTCCAATTCGTCAACACTACATAGGAAAGGTAGGATTCAGTTTTCTTAGCTTTTCATTAAATTTAAAGTTAATTCCTCCCTTACTAAAGGATCAATATGTATTAAAGTTGTTGTGAGATATCAGTGAATACTGAATAGAATTTTGTAGTTGGTAACTACCAGGATGCACCTTCAACCCTCAATCTAAAAACGTGGCCTTTATATCCTGTTAAATTAATTTTTCCATTCTTAAACAAGCTGAAGGTACCAAAATATATAAAAATTGTTCTGAGGCACCAGTGAAAAGAATTTTATAGTTGGAAATTACGGTGGTGCGCTTTTAACAACCAATTTCAAAACGGAGTTTTTTATTTCATGATTAATTAATTAATTAACCAGCTGAAAGTAATAAAATATATTAATATTATTGTGAGGCACCAGTGAAAAAAATAATTACCGGTGTTTAAAAATATCGTTTTTTATTCTTGTTAGATTAATTTATCCCTTATTAAAGGGGCTGAAAGTACCAAAATGTAATAAGTAGTCGTGACTAAAACTTATTAGTGAATATTTTAACCCGTCTTTCTGAGAATGGACTCTAATGAAGAAATTAGAATTGCGTCTGTAGCACCGATGATGAGAATCCTTTGCAGTACAGTGGGTTGTCTATATGAAGGACGAACAATTTATTAAAACTATGTATTTTTAATTCAAATTATCGTCGTACTTTCGCGGGAAATTAAATGAGTGCGCTGTAGTATAGAAGTAGAGATAAAGATAAAAATGTTACAGTATAAGTCGAAAAGTGTAAGCTGCATAATTTTTACGTTTTAATAATCTATTCCAATTTATTTATTACATAAGCAGTCTAGGAAAATAATTATGACTTCATAACACTAAACACTGTTGATGTAAATAAATGCTTTACATTTTGCTTTAAGTAACTGTTTGATCTGGGTATTTTTACGTTGTGTACTGTACATTCAATTTTTTATACGATTTCTGATAAAAATTATCAAACTTTAAAATACTGGCAAAACACTGTGTTTCATTTTGGAAAATTGTGCTGTTTATTTTTCAACTAAATTTTCTGTTATTAATTAAGGAAGATAAGAGTATAAAAATATAATAAAGTGGAATAGTCAAGAAGATACTTCTTAAGTAATCAACAAAGCAATCAATTTTTATTCTTCTGTCGATTGAGGAATTTGTAACAGTTTTTTCTTTCAAAGATACCTAAATTCTGCAATTTAACAAAACCATCGCATTTTATTTTAATAGTCTTACAAACATAACATTATCTACAAGTAATATCTCTTTTTTTTATCTTAATCTCTTTAACGGCCTTTTTTTATAATCCCGTCATCGGTCACATTGTCTGTTTGTCTCAAAAAATAATATGCTTCTATCCACATATATGTGTATGATAAATTTTTTGAGTAAAATCATGAATTTTATGAATTAAACAGCGTAATTTTGTAGTAAGAACTTGTTGAGTTAAATTGTTTCTAAATCGTTCATAGATAAAAAAAATTATTACATGTATTTGAAAAAGTATTTGCAAAATACAATAAAATAAACACATAATAAATACTTTTCTTAGAAAGTATTTCAACCACAATTACAAATACTATAGGGGTACTTGATAAAGCTGTACATATAGATAGAAAAATATATTTAAATAGAAATAATAAATACTTTCATTGAATGTATCTCAAATACAATTACACATAGAATAGGGGTGTTTGATTAAGGTGCCTATTTTAAATACTTATTTACACACAATTCGTTCAAATCCTCACACTCATTAGTAAATTTTTAAACTAGACAATGCTTTATTGTAATGTTGTGCGTTTATACATACATTTATCTCAAAATAAGTTAGGAGAAAACAAATGTTTTCATTTTACAATTTCTATAAATAAAACCTATCTTTATTTCTTTATCAAATATTTATAAATGCATTAATTATTAGAAATTGGTATAAGTATTTAAAATATGCTGTTAGTGTCATAGTTAGCGTAATTGAACGCACCTATAAAACATATTATTGTCTATGTATCATAAGTGTAGAAAGGATTTTTATCTATAGGTCTTCCACCGATTTCATTCTTATCAACTTATCTATGATTTCATCTTGTGATATATGGATACCTAGTCTAGGGATATGTCATTGTCTTCGGTCTTCGACTTGTCTATGGGCTTCCAAAAGACGACGTACCATCGTTTCTGCTGTCGTTAAACGGAGACTATTTCTGAAGGTGTTTAATATTAAACCTTATTCAATTTTAATTTGATTATGTGGAATACGTTTCTATTTAGTGATTGATGGGGTTCGATTACCATTGCTTAATTTTTTTTTGGCGTGAACGACTTGGATGGCGTGCTGGTTTCGTGTTTCAACATGGGAGTTCCATCATCTTGGCATCTTGCCTGTCCTCAAATCTAGTGTGAATTTTGAGATTTTTAGTTTACTTGAGGTCGAATAATTAGGGTTTCGTAAGAATTTTTGAATTTTGGTAACAGTTTTAGACGATGATTGCCGATTTTTCATATTCATGTGACCACGTCGTGATGAATTGCTTTGGTTTTATAGCCAAAATATGTAAAATATTCAATATTATTTGGGTTTTAACAACTGTTTTTTCTCTTTGTACAATATAGAGCTTGCTGCGAGATAAATCCTTGGATTAGATGGACCTTGCTACTTAGAGATGTAACATTTCTGGTAGTCAGTTTAATTTGTTAATTTCAAGAATGCACCTAATGAGCTGGTCGCAAAATTCATAGGACTCAAGATGTTAATAATGGTAATTATCGTTTATAATAAAACAATAAAAAAACCTACTGAACATATAACTAACATTAAATTGTTTTAACAGGTTCCATTAAAACTTTATCAATGAATATGGATAGGGTAAATCAAAAAGCTTGGAAAGAGACCATTTATGGAAAAGGTAAGAAATCTGTCATTATTTTATGAAGTTGCATTTACAAATTAGTTTGTTCTTTTTCAAATCTTGTATTCCTATTTTTAGACAATAATTATTATAATTTTTTACTCTTTAATTGTAGTATTTAATGATTGAGATATCTGCAATGATGTTGTCTTTCCTAGACTGTATTCCTGATTTGATATTTTGGAATTTTGGTCTTCACCTTGCAACATTCTGCAGTTAATTTTTGCTGTAACAATGGGAGGCAATGAGAAGTTAATTTGGAAGCAACTGAAACAACAAACTGTCTGCAGTTATATCTTCTGGTAGACTTCAGAACGTTACTTTCTACAATTAATTAAGGTGAGAATACATTACTTCATTAATATTAATTGCTCTTTGTTAATCCGTTACGGCATTTCTGTTGACATTTATCTATTCTTTTTATTTCCACAGAATAAATTGACATCTATCATAGATATATGGAGTTTCTTTTTAACCTGTTTTCTATTGTCTGCATTATAAATAAATAAATATCTATGTTGTGATCTATAGTTGTGATGTAAAATGGCGTAAAGTAACTTGTCATTTTATAATTCAGCTGTTTTACTTTCTTTTTGGTGCGTTTGTGGTTGTGTTAAATGTGTTTCTTAATTAATAGTGTAATTAATACGGCTTTTTGTCCGTTTCTGCAGGTTATCCAACATACGAGAGAGAGTTAAACTTCAATTTGGTCATACTGAAACAGTCAATGTCTGCTTGGGTGTTGTTTTTCGTGGGCTGTATTCTTGATTCGCTGTTTTCGCCTTCGCCTTGCAACATTATGCAGTTAATTTTCAACTGATGAGTGAAAGCAACTGGACATTTATTTGAATTCCACTGAAATAAAGAATTTTCTGCTACGGTATTCTTCCTGGAATTGGATTGCTTTTTCCACCTGCAAACTTTGGAACATTACAGTCTACAGCTAATTAAGGTGAGAATATTTGATATAAGGAATTTTAATTGCTCTTTATTAATCTGTTACCACCGTATCTGTTTCAGATCGACGTTGGAGAAGACAAAGATGACCCCGTAGTTAAATTAGTTCTTTACCTTGCATGCTCTATCTAGTAGAATTCATTAAGTTCATTTTATTCAAATTAATTTTTTATTTTGCAAGTCTTTTTGTAGTTACTTTGAATTTGTTTTTATTTTGCATGCTTATTTTTGTTCATTTTATTTGAAGTAATTGTTGATTGTAGATGTTCTTATTTTTTTGTAGTATGTAGTAGTAGTGTTTGTCATTTAATTTGAAGTAATTGTTGATTGTAGATGTTTTTATTTTTTTTTTATGTAGTAGTATTGTAGTAGTAGAAATAACACTTTTAGTAGTTGTAGTATAGTCTAACCTTGCTTACCTCTTCGCTTAGCTTACTGCATATTCTTCCTAATTTGCTTTGCATTTACCCTACGAGTTCTACATGATTCAACGTTTCGTTATCGTGTGTGTTTCTTCTCACCCTTGTGGAATTAGGGAGGGCCTCCCCGAACGACTTCCCTTGGGCTTAGCTATTTAGTTGATCTTAAAAGTGTCTTATACACTTTTCGCGAGTCTACTCTAGCGT